ACTCTGCAAACATGAGACTTCCACTCACACTGGAAAACTATTTCAGCTCCTCCCTCGACTTCTCTATGCAAGGAGAGCAACCATAAAAATCAATGTGAGAAACTGTAAGGGGTAATTCTACTTATGTGTGAGTGTGTACCACATACGTCGATCATGTTCCTCCAGCCCTCAGTCTTTCCACTGAGCAGGGGCTCATTCTGGGCCAGTCCAGCATTGTTGATGCAAACGTCCACGCCCTTGTGCAGTGTTTTGATTGCTGAAAACATGGAGAGGATCTCCTCCTCATTGGACAGATCACACTTGTAAGGGATCAATGTGCCACTGTAGCCTGCACTCTGACATTCTGCTGCCAGCTTCTGAAAAACACAAGGCAGACTCAGTTTGATGACATGCACAACTGTTACAGGATAAAAAAAACACAAGATTTTAAATACTATCAGTGGCCAGAGACTGATTATCAGAACTTAGACTTTGTTAGGTGTGATCTAGAAATGATCAGCTTATTCAGCATTCACACTTGTTTTCCTCTTATTTATTATTCTGGTCATTAACTTCAGCATACTTTCAGCTAGAAAAACCATTCAACTTTTAAACAAGTCAGGAAAGTTCCAGCTATTCATCTTCAGCCTTTTGATATCTTTTACAATTTTTGAATTATCACAGTTCACATTTTATGGTGATTTTGGACATTTCTCAGCCTCTCCACTCATTTGCCTTTTTACAGTTTTTTTGCCGCCAGTTTTCTGCTCTTATTCTGCCAACCTTAAGCTTTCACACACAAATTATACACTAAAACATTAGAGAAAATTGTGAGAAATCAGAAAATACCCTTATTGTGATTGACCTTCTTGGCAGCATGTGTCCTGTTGAGCTAATTACTTACAACAGAAACATTAAAATTAACATGGTACCACACAAAGTCACAAACTAAGACATCCACAAAACACCCAAACAGTTAAAGCAACAGCATCACACAGTAACACACAGAGAGGTACATGTACACATTCTTTATTATATTCTTATTATATCTTTATTGTATTTCTTTTCACTTGCTGTTTTTAAAGGGCCTTTAGATTGTTACTTTTTATCTACTTTATATTTCACTTTGTATTGTCTGGCATTCATTGTGGACAGCAAAGTAAGAATTTCATTGTACAGGGAAACATGTTTCCTTACTGCGCACATGACAATAAACACTTTGATTTGACTTTGACTTGACAGTAACACACACACACACACACACACACAGTTGGTCTGCCTTCAAAATAAGAACCCTGAAGTATGCAGAAACAATTTCAATATAAACAGTTTAACAACTAAATGTCCAATTTCTTTCAATGCTCAGACCTTTGCTCCTTGTTACTGTCAGCTAGTTGCTTTGACAGTACACCTTCCACTGTTTCAGTGATCAGTTTAAGCTCATTTAAGCTTTTTTAGAATTTGGGCTCCCAAATTCAATTTTTCTGTTCATCTTCCATAATTAGTCAGCAATGGGTTTCAGCATTACTAGGGTAACTTTATTTCTACTTCTCACTTTGTATACCTTCCATGTCAGGTCTCAGGCACAGGAAGGACCCAAATATGCAGACACAGGCTGAGGAATAGTTCTAGCAGAATTTGAATATACAGGATACTGAACAAAAGACTAAGGGTATAACTTAGGGAGCTCAACCTCACAAAACATAAAGAATATTGACAAACCCTACAACAAAGTGTTCAGTCATGGAGCTAAACAAACAAACCCAAAGGCACAAACTGAAAATCCACAATGGAAGGTAAGTCCAAATCCAAGGACAAACAGTCCAGAGGTAGCTAAGGCAGGAAACAAAACAGGAATGGTATTCAGGAATAACACAAACAGGCTGGGTGTGGTGAGTGGAATGGACCAGCGTCTACCTTAGGCAAGTGAGCAGAGGTGTCAACAGGCTGATATAAAGGGGTTCTCAGTGGGTGACCATTCTTCTTGGGGTTCTTCTTGTTTAAACCCCAGGACAAACAGCTAGCTGGGTGAAATTCCTACTTTGCCATCCACATGAATGCCACAAAATACAAATGAAATATAAAGTAGATGAATAAGTAACACAAAATCTAAGGCACTTTAAGCAGTAAATGCAGAGATATCAATAAAAATATACAAGAATATAATAAGAGAATGTATGCTACATGGGAGCAGCATGTGCAGTAGTCAACAGTCAATGTGCAATTATGCATGTGCAAACGGAGAATGTAAACAGTACAGGTCGACAGTACATGATGTATCTCCTCCTGTCAGCTGTTTAGGAGTCTGATGGCGGAAGGAAAGAAAGAGTTTATCAGTCTAGAAGTCCTGCATTTCACACTTCTGAACCTCCGGCCAGAGGGTAGGGAGGTGAATAGTCCGCGCTGGGGGTGGGTGGGGTCTTTGAGGATGGAGGCAGTTTTCCTACGCACCCTGCGGTGGTAAATGCTCTGCAGAGAGGGCAGTGGAGTCCTGGTGATCTTCTCCACAGTCTTTACCACTCTCTGCAGGCGCTTGTGGTCCATAGCAGTAATTCTATGGTTTGTTAGCGTTGTCTCTCACCAGGTGAGAATAATTGTCTGGACTCAAGTAGCTAGACTCAAGGTACTAGGCATAATAATAAGGATAACCACCTTTATTGGCCAAGTATTTTACACACAAGAAACTTGTTTCCGGTACAGAACCGATGGCAGCCATCTGCGGCGCCAACTCAACCGATGGCTCTAACCATCG